AAAGAGAGAATGTTTTACGGAACGGGTTGTCCCAGCACGTAAGACATGTATTTACTAATGTCCTGTCTTGTTGTGCGTATGCATGAGTGCACCTAACCTTTGTAACATCTACTGCCATTGTAAAATACCAAGACAAATTTCTCCCTGCGAGATGAATAAAGATTGTCATTGTCAACCACCCACATCAGTGACCTAGTACCTGGGTGACCTTTACGTCAGTGACCTTGTTCATTGGTGACCTTTATGTCAGTGACCTTGCACCTGGTTGACCTACCTTAGCCAGGAGCTCCTTCATCTTGGAAGCGATGGCCTTGAGGAAGTCCACGTCAGTGCACTGGTGTTTGGCGGAGCTGATGAGGGAGGCAACCTCGTTGTTTACCATCTCGCTGGTCGACATTGGGGGTTGGATGCACATGTCTGACGGCTGGGTCAAGTTGACCATCAACCTGTGGACACACAAACAAACACACACATGTGAACACACACACAAACACATAGATGTATTACTAGTTTAATAGTTGGAATATATATGGCTCTTTTCGTCTATGCAAATGGTCAATTTGGCTTAAAATGTTCTCAAGGTTGTCTTCATGCAGCTTCTTTTATGGCTAATTCTTCCTATGTTTGAATCGCAGATTTTGTCGCAGTGCTTGCATGTCAATATCAGTGAGGAATTCTTAGAAATTCTCAGACTTCTTAGTTGGAATATAGGGTATTTATTTAGTTCTTTTAATTCCTTCTGTTTTGTTGCTTGTTTTTGAAAAAGTAAAAGATATAAGTATGTTTGGCACCCCTCAAGACGACGAAGCACCTGTCTAAGACAACCACTTTTCTCCTCAATTATGTCCGGTCATTTTGGACAATCTCAACAGTGTTCCAAACAATTTCAGTCTCATTTTACTAAAACTTTCATTTTCAGCGTTCGGTAGAATTTCACTTTCATTTTTTCCTAACTTCTGCTTTCAGGAGTGGACCTCAGAGCTTTCACAGTGATCTACATCATCAAAAGAGGCAAAAATGGAGTTGGTGAAAGACAGCTCTCCGTCGGTGCAATATGTCAAGGCATTTCTCCACCCACCAATCCAGATGATACCCTTTTCTTCCCCCACCACATGATACCCCTTTCTTTACGTACCTTATGACACCCTGCCTTTTTCTTCATCCACCACAGGATACCCCTTTCTTCACCCACCATATTGATACCCCTTTCTTCACCTATCATATGATACCCTGACTTTTTCTTCCCCCAAGATATGATACCCCTTTCTTCACCCACAATTCCATGATACCCTATGTTCACCCATCATATGATACCCCTTTCTTCACCCACAATTCCATGATACCCTATGTTCACCCATCATATGATACCCCTTTCTTCACCCACCATATGGCTATATGCAGATCAGATAAGTTGAGGAGTTAAAAAAAGGTTACACAAAAAGGTGCACAACCCATGTTTGTCTCCATTTTGGCTTTCCACAGAATCAACAAACTCTGGAACAAAAACAAGAGAACAACAACAACAACACACGCTGCAACAACAACAACAGACCCATAAATCACCCAACTTGGGGAGTTCCTAAAGCCTCCGCAACAGACAGGACCTCTTTAGCAAATGAAAACATCAAGGATTGGCAGGAAACTGGTTTTTGTTTCTTTCTTCCCGCCTCTTCTAAATCAAGGCCAGACAAAGAGGTTAAACGAGAGGGCAGAAAAGATGTATTTATAAATAAGAAAAAAATAGTCAAGACAGATAAGAAGGAAAAACACAACACTTAAAGCAAAGTAAATAACCTTCAGCAAGGACAATTGATTTAAAGTGGAAATCTAATTTTTTTAAAGACATCAACAGATACACAGACACACACATACACAAACCCACACAAACACATACACAAACACACACACACCCAAACAAACAAACACACATACACAAACAAACAAACAAACAAACAAACACACACACACACACACACACA